CGTTAAGATTTTGCTTCTGCCGCCCAAGAAAGAAATAAGGAGAGGCTCTCTCTCATTTATGTTTCCGTGTTTGTTATTTCCTATTTTACCCTTCTTTTAATAAATGGGAGGGGGTGGATTCTTTTTAAATGGACAAAAAATGCTTCTATCCACTCAAGTAGATAGTTGTTCATCTATATACATGGAAAATGGTACAGGCACACCCCCAGGCACACCTTGTGCCACACCCCCTCTCTCAGCTACAGTGCACGGGGCCCACACATGGGATTTTTTAATCCCATGTGTGGGCTCTGTGCACTGTAGCTGAGAGAGGGGTGTGGCACAAGGTGTGCCTGAGGGTGTGCCTGTAGTGCCACCCCTATATACATACGTACATACGTACATATACATACTAGAGGTGGAGGAGATCTTGTTGGAAGTTAGAGGGGATGGAAACGATGCTTGGAGTTGGAGGAGGCGGCAAGGGAGGTTGGAGGAACGTAGAAGCAACAACGAAGAAAATTATTTTATGATCCAAGCTTTGCAATCCGCATATATTCTAAGATGCTTTCAAGACTTAGGCGGGTGACCAAAATACCGACTAGATTTAGATGGGAGCGCTCAACTAGCTTTTTAAAACTATGCTACTACTTGTTTTAGTTATGACTTCTCTAGATAGCTTTTTTAAAACTACGCCACTAGCTATCTCTTCTAGTTATGACTATTTCTTATAGTGAAAACTATGCTACTATTTGTTTAGTTATGACTATTTTTAGTAATTTTGTATACATCTTGTCCCACTTACTCATGAGGCAAAAAAGACATTCACGAGCTAAAAAAGCTAAAAAAAAAACCTAGAGTTATGCTCTGTTTGGATGGCGGTGAATGCAGGAGAGTTGAAAAGAAATAAAAAAGCTCACTCCATTTAATTAACCTTCCGCCACCCCTCAAGTTTGAAGATGGAGGGGGCGAGAAAGGATAAAACCTCGAAATTGGGTTACAAAAGAGGTCAAATATTTTGAATCATCATGACATAAATCTAACGGCTCATAAATAATTCTTCTCAAGTTTCTTTACTAAACTCTCAAACCTAATATTATTTAGGGAAAAATGCTTTCAGTCCCCAAAAGCCAAGTGAACATGCTTCCTACCCCCCAGGACTTGGTCAATGGGTGTTTTACCCCTAAAAATAAAGAATCTGTTCTCTGAGCCCCCAAAACACAAAACCCAAGACATTAAAACATGTGAAGACCATAATACCCTTCTCTCTCTCTTTCTTTTTTTATTAAAATATGATGGGGGGTTATTTTATTATTTTTGTTTTTTTTTCTCTCTTTATCATGATGTACCAAGAGGATAGTTGAAATGATTGATGATGATTATTTTATTATTTTCGTTTTTTATTATTTTGGTTGTTTGTATTGGGAGGTTGTTAAAGTTACGGGTTGATTGTTAAGGTTACGGGTTGGTTGTTAAGGTTAAGGGTTTGTTGTTAAGGTTATGAATCCTCTCTCTCTCTCTTTCTTTTTTTATTAAAATATGATGGGGATTATTTTATTATTTTTGTTTTCTCTCTCTCTTTATCATGATGTACCAAGAGGATAGTTGAAATGATTGATGAGGATTATTTTATTATTTTCGTTTTTTATTATTTTGGTTGTTTGTATTGGGAGGTTGTTAATGTTACGGGTTGATTGTTAAGGTTACGGGTTGGTTGTTAAGGTTAATGGTTTGTTGTTAAGATTATAAATCCTCTCTCTCTCTCTCTTTCTTTTTTTATTAAAATATGATGGGGATTATTTTATTATTTTTGTTTTCTCTCTTTTTATCATGATGTACCAAGAGGATAGTTGAAATGATTGATGATGATTATTTTATTATTTTCATTTTTTATTATTTTGGTTGTTTGTTTTGGGAGGTTGTTAAAGTTACAGGTTGATTGTTAAGGTTACGGGTTGGTTGTTAAGGTTAAGGGTTTGTTGTTAAGGTTATGAATCATCTCTCTCTCTCTTTCTTTTTTTTATTAAAATATGATGGGGATTATTTTGCTATTTTTGTTTTCTCTCTCTCTTTATCATGATGTACCAAGAGGATAGTTGAAATGATTGATGGGGATTATTTTATTATTTTTGTTTTTTATTATTTTGGTTGTTTTTTTTGGGAGGTTGTTAAAGTTACGGGTTGGTTGTTAAGGTTAAGGGTTTGTTGTTAAGGTTATGAATCCTCTCTCTCTCTTTCTTTTTTTATTAAAATATGATGGGGATTATTTTATTATTTTTGTTTTCTCTCTCTCTTTATCATGATGTACCAAGAGGATAGTTGAAATGATTGATGAGGATTATTTTATTATTTTCGTTTTTTATTATTTTGGTTGTTTGTATTGGGAGGTTGTTAAAGTTACGGGTTGATTGTTAAGGTTACGGGTTGGTTGTTAAGGTTAAGGGTTTGTTGTTAAGGTTGTGGATTTGTTGTGTAGGTTACGGATTTGTTGTTAAGATTACGGGTTTAATGGTTAAGGTTACAGGTTTAATTGTTAAGGTTACAGGTTTAATTGTTAAGGTTACTTATCTAAAGATCCTCTTGGTACATCATGATAAAGAGAGAGAGAGAGAGAGAGAAATAATAAAATAATCCCTCATCATATTTTAATAATAAAAGAAAGAGAGAGAGAGAAGGGTATTATGGTCTTCACATGTTTTAATGTCTTGGGTTTTGTGTTTTGGGGACTCAGAGAACAAAATCTTTATTTTTAGGGGTAAAACACCCATTGACCAAGTCTTGGGGGTGCTTTCACTTCCTCTCCCTTCTTGTCTCCTCCACTCCCCTTCGTTAGGAAACTCCAAAACTCGTTACGAAACTCTAAAACATAGTGTTAAAAGTCACTATTTGTTTAGCCTGCAGCTAGATAACAACAATAATAATAGCAGCCGCATATTTTTTTGTAAATTTTCCTAGAGATACCAGCGGTGTTTATAACTACAATAGTCGTTAAAATGGTCAGATTGGTATATTTTTTAGAGGCTTGGTAACATGTTGGTATATTTTCTTTTAGTTTTGATATTTTCTTTTGGTTTTATCAGATTGGAATAAATTTTCGACTCTGGCGCCATACAGGCCTTAAATTTGACCGGAGTTATTGTTCCGGCAAGGGCTGATGGGATTTTTTGTAAAAAAACCCCTCATCAAATATAATTTCCTGCTCCTAACCCCCCTCTCCCTCCTCCTCCTCATCCGCTTTCTCCTCCTCCTCATCCTCTTCAACCTCCCCCTCCTCCTCTTCCTCCCTCCGATGTCGACCGGCGGCGCATGGATCTCCGACGACCTAATACCCGGCCTCCCCAACGAGGAAATTGTATTTGATGAGGATGAGGAGGAGGAGGGAGAGGGATTGCGGTCATAGTGTCAATACCGAACACGTGCTTGATTCGCGCAAGAATCGTGAAGATCGATCGTATATTTTCTTTTGGTTTTATCAGATTGGAATAAATTTTCGACTCTGGCGCCATACAGGCCTTAAATTTGACCGGAGTTATTGTTCCGGCAAGGGCTGATGGGATTTTTTGTAAAAAAACCCCTCATCAAATATAATTTCCTGCTCCTAACCCCCCTCTCCCTCCTCCTCCTCATCCGCTTTCTCCTCCTCCTCATCCTCTTCAACCTCCCCCTCCTCCTCTTCCTCCCTCCGATGTCGACCGGCGGCGCATGGATCTCCGACGACCTAATACCCGGCCTCCCCAACGAGGAAATTGTATTTGATGAGGATGAGGAGGAGGAGGGAGAGGGATTGCGGTCATAGTGTCAATACCGAACACGTGCTTGATTCGCGCAAGAATCGTGAAGATCGATCGAGATAGAAGCGAGATCGCGACGTCGAATGTGGATCCCCAAAGCGAGCTCTGTCGCAGGAACTTGACTTCCTGTCTCTTCCAGAAGATTTTATGTTGGACGTCGGCGACCGCCGTCATCTTGTCCACCGTCATCTTGTTCGGTTTGCTCTAGACAATCATTTTCTTCAATCCGTGCTCGGAGTCGGCTAATTTGTCCATCTCTTTATAAAGAGCCGATGTTGCTGCTATCAATCGATCCATTTTCTTGACTCTGGAGTCCATCTCCTTGGCGCTCATCGCCCACCGATTCGGATCCACGCCCGAGTCCGCGTAGCTCTTGAACCTCTGATCGAACCTGCGGAGCTCCTGATCGGCGCATTGCTTGCTCAGATTAGACGTCGAGGCGGAGGGTCGCGGCGACGAGGCGAAGGCCAGCCCTAGAAGAAGCGCGTCATCGTCGGAGACGACCTTGTGAACTCCTTCGATAGCGATGGTTTCGTGGCGGAGGCGAGAAATTTGGGAGTCGGAGGGATCGCTAGAGATGGACGAGCTTGGACATGAGGCAGACGATCTCGAAAGCGAGGATGCCGACGGTGGAGGATCTCTTGGTGAGGATCATTGATGATGTTTATTGGGTCACTGAAGAGCGGATGGCGGACTTGACTCGAGTGAGCCATGTCTCTAAAGCCATGGAAGAGGAAGGAGATTGTAAAGATTTAGGAAGTCTAGCTGGTGTGTGTTATTAGCACTTTAGGCGTGAGGAGAAGGGGAAAGAGGGGAAGCAGGGGGTTTAATGATTGGAGATGGAGGTGAAGGGATAAGGAGGGGAGACTAAATAATTGGGAAGAGGAAGAGGATGAGGAGAGGGGGAGGTTGAAGAGGATGAGGAGGGAGAGGGGGAGGAGGAGGGAGAGGAGGGGTTTAGGAGCAGAAAATTGTATTTGATGATGGGGTTTTTTGCAAAAAAAATCTCATCAGTCCTGACCGGAACAGTAACTCCGACCAAATTTAAAGCTTATATGACGCCGGAATCGAAAATTTATACCAATCTGACAAAACTAAAAAAAAATATACCAACATATTACCAAGCCTCTAAAAATATATATCAATCTGGTCATTTTGCCCTACAATAGTCGAAGGGATAAAGTTGAAGCAAAGCAAATACCCGCATTATTATTTCATCAACAATAACGGTAACTGTAATAGTAGTTTTTCATGAACCAAACTAAGAAAAAAGCTTCAAGTCCAAGTCCAACTGTACCCACATTTAGAAAGAATTTCTTCAATCTTTGAAAAGAAAACGTCAAACGTGCACATTCAGAAAACTTAAGGTAAAAACATGCGTTGACATTGAACTTCATAAAGCAAGACGTTGAAACAAGAATCAATTCAAAGATCTGCACTTAAATAATAATCTCCAACCACCCCCACCCCCACACACACACAGCTTCTTCATAATCTATGAAGACACTGTTCAGAAGGATTTCCTGTAAATTTCATCACCACTATTTAACTCAGTCAACAGGGCAGTCACTCCATCAGATGCCCGTTCCCCAGAGATCCAACTCCATCCAGCAAGATTTTTTCCTTCAGTTGACATAAAAAAAAGGGGCATTCCAAAACTCTCTCCAAAGTTTTAGGATCTCAGCCACCATAAAAATCTCAATGTGCTGAAGATCCCTAAAACGCCATCAGTCCACCGGAAAAATCCCAGTTTATTGGGTTCTCCAGTTTCTTCTCGGTATCCCTTGTGTCGAAAAAGTACAATGTTAAAAACTCTCAAAAAAGGAGAAAGGATCACATATTGACACTTTTTTCAGAATAAAATGGTGCTCCAAGTAGAAACTCCATTTAGAATAGAACATCATTGTAACAACCAGATATCCTGCAAGCATAATACAAAATATCAAAAAGTTGACCTTTTTTGAGTTGGAGATATCAGTAAACAATGTTGAAGAACATGAATAGTCAACACAAATGTGACAAAAAAAATAACATATCAAAACATATAAAAGAATTGTTTGAGTTGGACAACAAAAATGGAAACAAAAAGAAAAAGTAAAATGCAGAAACTCTTTGAAATTCCACCTTATTAGCAAGATGCCAACGCTCAGCTGGGGATCCAAGGTCAAGAAATAGCGAGGCTACCATGGTCTGCATCTGGATCATAGATAGTGCCAGATATTTTTGAGGGAGGCCAATACCGAAGAACTGATCTCCCAAGAATGTTGTTTACTGGAAGTGGCCCCCTGAATGGAAGCGAGAATTCGAATTGTAAAGACCAGATAGACAAATATATATCAAGTAGCTCATCATATAGAGCAAAAAGAAAAATAGAGTTACGAGTGTTGGCTTTCAGAACATACCAATTATGAGAGTCAAAGCTGTCATTTCGATTATCCCCAAGAACAAATACATAGCCTTTAGGAATTAGCTGCATAAGCAACATAGCAGAGGGTTAGTTCAAAATTCAATTCAACTTGAATTCTTGAGCTAAGAATATCAACTACCATAAAATTCAATTCAACTTGAATTCTTGAGCTAAGAATATCAACTACCTTAACATTTCGTTTATATAGTAACATGAAAATTTTAGATTGGACCGGACCATGCTTTCTGGAGTAGTTATAGTAAGAAATTTATATCCACCACTTACTTTAGGTTTCACGCACTGGAACACAAAACACATCTAAGAACAAATTATTATCACCGTCAATATTGACAAAATTCCTCACACGTCAATATATTCTTGGGTTAATTGCGGATAGGCCCCCTGCACTATCGCCCAACTGCAGACAGACCCTTCGCCATTTGTGTGGATAAACCCCTGTGCTATTTGTCCAATTTCGGATAAACTCCATGGGTGAATTTGACTCTAAAGAGTCAAAATAGTTCACTCAGGGGGTCTATCCAACCAATAGAACTACAGAGTGTCTATCTGCAATTGGCTACAGTACAGGGGGTCTATCCACTATATCATATGCTTGTGAGAGGAAGCAGCATATGTCAAAATGTCCAAATCAGAAATCTATAGATGGTCATAACAAATACAGAAAGGTTTCAATCTAAGTGATAAGTGCGCCACCACATCCTAGTTTGTACCAGTTCTAGCAGAAAAGACTTACATTCACCTCTATCTGATGTAATGCATTTAGATGAGGATGCAATAGGAATCATTACCTTTCCTTCCATTTCATAAGCAAGTGGCTCCAATATGAATTCTTCATCTTGAGCAACTCCATTCACATACAGCTTCCCATTGCGGACCTGTTATGGGCGAGGAAAAGATTAAATCATTTTCTCAAAAATTGACTATATGAAGTAGGCTGTAGCAGACAAAATAAAGATGTGCAAAATCAAAAGATGTAAGGAGAAACATAGAAACTTACTTCAACATAATCCCCAGCCTTGGCCACCACTCTCTTGATAAAAACATCACTAGAACTGTACCCATTTTCCTGCAAAAGAATAGTTCACCAAAATTTAAAAAAAGATACAAAATAACTTAACGGCTACATTGGGTTGCAAAGAATGATAAATTAAACGAAAATGTTTACCTGGAGGATTGGAGGAGCACTGAAGATAACTATGTCTAAAACTTCTGGTTCTCTGAATAAATATGAAACCTGCAATTTGGCAGCAAAGTCATGAACTAAAGTTCATATCACCAAGAAAAAGCATCAGATTCCATAGCTCAAGAGGAAGTTTCAGTACTTACTGAGTAAAAAGACATTTTGTTGTTTCATAAGGAGTTACTGAAATATTTCATATCCCTGACTTTGCATGATGTTAAACCCATTTGTCTTAATTAGATTTGATGCTCATCACTTTGGTACTAATATTAGATAAAGAAATCTGATACTGGATATTAAGAAATCTTAAATGAGGATCCAAATTGAAACTAATATCCTACACACTACGCACCACCATTATTGGGTTAACCCCAATAAAACAGAATAGAATCAGTAATGCTGTGTTTGGGAGATGACTTTAGAGAAGGGAAGGAAGGGGAAAAGTTCCCCTTCCTTTCCCCTTCCTTCCCTTCCCCTTCATCACACCCCAATTTGGGGTGTAAGATTTTGGCTCAAATCCCCCCCACCTCCAAAATGGAACTCCCAAACAAGGTTAAAATTAGATTTCTCTTCCCCTCCCCCTCTCTACCCTCCATCCAAACAGGCCATAAGACAATCTTACCCTATGCAATCCCCAAACAATTAAAACCCTTCATAAATAAAACTTCACCTAATCGTAATCAATACCAAATTCTCCGTTCTAACATATTTTCCTTACCTTCTCTGCCAATATCCGGTCTCCCACATCCAAAGTCGGGTACATTGACATCGAAGGAATCGATTTTGGCTCCGCCAGCCGTGACTTATACAGCAAAGGAACAGTCACCGCAGCAAAACAAAACTTAGCATCATCCGAACACGAATTCATCCACCTAGAGAACCAAGAGCTCAGATTCCTATTCTTCCTCTGCAACTCTTTCACACCCTCCTTCACAGTCACAGCCTCAACCGAGGCCTCCATCGAGCTCTTACTCCCCTTAGCTCCACTCTTATCAACACCCACAGCCTCCTTGTCTTCGAACCCACCTCTTGAAGACCCAGGAACAAACTCACTACAAGGAAACCACTTATTGGGCTGCAAAAACGGCAGGAAATAAGAGGGCTTAAGCCCTCCTAAACCAATCGAAGACGAGACTCCAAAAACTCCAAGCCCAACGTTAGATCCAGCTCCAGAGCCAGACACCACGGCCGAGATCAAACTAACCGTGATATTAGCAGGCCTCGACCCTTTCGGAGCCAAAGTCGAGTACTTTACCGTCGCCGGAGCGTGAGCCTGAGCCTTCGACTTCTCTTGCGCCGTCGATCTCGTTCGATCGCCGGTAAAACACGAGAACTTTGACGACTGAGGCTTGGATCGATATCGATTTCGGTCCCAATCTCGATCCCTCGCCCTAGATTTCGTGACATTGGGATCATCGTCCAATCTCTGATTCGCGAAGAGGCACAAGGATCGGCGGCAGTTTCCATAGCGGATAGGCGGCGAGGGTTTGGGCCACGTAGCCGGAAAAGGAGAAGGTGATTCGGATCGCCATAACTAGGGTTTTGAGAAACGGGTAAAAGATCGGATGCAGCGAGATTAAAAGGAAGAACCTTGAGATTAAGCGGATCCCATTTCGGCAGAAGGGGGGACTGAATCGAGATCGGCCAAGGGAAATTGAAGGGGCTGTAGGTTAATTAGGGTTTGGAGATCGCCGAAATGGGAACAAATTAGGATTTTGATGGAGATTTGAATGAATTAGGGTTAGGGCTTTTTTTTCCCCTCTTTTTTCTCAAGCTCCCCACTGACTCCGATGGAGAGAGAGAGAGAGGAGAGGAAGGAGGGAGGAGGGAGGACAGAGACGAAAAAGGGGAAGCAGTCGGCTGCCCAAATTTTATGAGTAGACGGCGGCTGCAGAGGGTATAATTGGGCCTGATGTTCGTCGTAATTACGAGATTCCCAAATATTCGGAAAAGCGGATGAATCTGGGTTAAATGACCATTCTACCCTGTCACCGTAGCGTACTTATATCACTTAATCGCACTCACTTAACATGCCATGAAGTTTGTAAGAGTTACAATTCAGTGCTCCATGTTATGCAATAGTGAGAATTTTGTTCTGGTTTTAAGTTGACGCACACAAGCTAATTCTAGAAATTTTTAGCCTAATATTTGTTGAATCTAGTGTTGAACATACAGTAATTATACTTTAAAATATAGTTACAATAGATTTAAATTAGAATTCAGATATGTCTGACAGTACATTCAATAAACAGTAAAGCCTAGAAATTTTAAAATTAGTTTGTGAGTTTCATATGGAGAAACTTGGAGCAAAATTTTCACTTTTGCATAACGAAGAATATTTAAATGGAACTTTCACAAAGTTTAAAATATAAGCTAAGCGAGTGTACATAAATCTAAAATGGGGAAACTTAAGTGCTAATCAGCCTTTAATTTGAGATAATTGATTAGGCTGTTGATGGGGAAGAGAGAATCTTTTCGTCGAAGTTTAATAATGAGCTTCCATACTTTTGGGATCTTTTTTAGGTAAATACTAAATAGCATTGGGGATAAATTGGAGATTGGATTTTAGCAATTTAAAATATTGGTGAGATGAGTTTGGGCCGAATGGACTTTCCTGGTCCTTTCCGTGGGGGTGGCCCACGAACCCGCTTTGCCCTTCCACAGTAAGGAGTAACAATAGAGACGACTCCTAACAATCATATTTGGATTAAGGGAGGCATTTTATTAGACACTTTTGAGGGACGGTTTTCCATTACCTTTTATATTGATATTGATGATTTGTTAATATTAAAGATAATCTTTTATAATCCAATCCAAAATCTAACCCGTAGCTGTGGAAATCATCAATATTAAAGATATCAGTAGAGAGTTATTTGCATGTGATTTACGTAAAGCGTATATATGCGTAAACGTGACCTATTTTAACTTTACATAAAAATTTTGTGTGGGAAAAAAAATTAAACATGGAGATCTAATAGGATAAGGGGGAAAGTAAATATCGAGATTTTTGTTTAAATCAAAAGTGTTTTATATAAATTTTTCCCCCTGAACATTTTGATTTTATTTTGGAACTCAACTAAGAGTTTGTTGACTTTATTAGTGTGGTCCCACCTAAAATCTCTATGTGGGTGTATATGCAAGAGAGAAGGGGGACAAAATTGACGTGCGAGGTTGAATGATGTAAGCTCATGCGTCATCGAAACTTTGGAACCATTAGTTTAACTACCTTGCTAATTATTAATTAGAGCTTGATGCAGACTGAAAAGCAAAACAAAGCTGTTATTTGTTTGACCGAATAAAAATTAGGTTAAATTGCACTTAAATACCCGATTGATTCTCAAAAAACACACTTATATACCCAAAGTTTTAAAATGGAACAAAAAAACACCCGTTTCAAATTGGAGCTAAAAATATCCCAAGTTGTAAGAAAAAGTACAACTAGCTATCTTCTGTCAACTAGTTGTGAGAATATATGATGCCACGTATGACTAATTTACTTGCCAACTACCATTGGTTATTGTCTTGATTACTATTTTACCAGCTCCTTTCATTTTATTAAATATCATTCCTCCTCCTTCTTCATCTTCTTACATGTAAACCCAAATCACATTTTCTCCTTAATTAGACTTTCATGTTATGTCAAAATTAATCGAAGGAGGTGATTGTACCTTAAAAAAGAATCACCGAGTCCCGAACCTTCAAAATAACTAGGCATTTTGCTCCAATTCGAAATCCTAGAATTGAGACCACTTGCTACAGCTTGTCATATTCCCCAACCAAAATTTTGGGAGAGAGAATGAGAAAGAGATTTTAGAAGCATGAAAAATCCTTATTTTCATTGTGGAACTAAGAGAGATCAAGAGATTTGGAGAAAATTGGCTGTAAACGTAAAGTTTTGGGGGTTTTAACTATAGAGGGTTATTTAAACGGAATGATATTTCAGTCTTTTTATGTTAAATTTAACGTTAAGCAAATTCACGCGGTAAACAGCCTGAGATTTTTTTCTTCTTCTCTTTTTTCTATTATTATATAAACTTAAGGTATATAAGTGCTTTTTAGGAACAACAGGGTATTTAAGTGCAACTTAACCTAAAAATTAACTAATATAGGATTAGCTCATGACTTATGACCTAGTCTTCTGGAAGGCTCGAGTGAGCACGAAAGAAAGCTAACTAGACTTTGTTTTTGAGTAATAATTTATCTCGCACGCTGAAAGTTGGTCGGTTATAAAAGCTAACTAATAAAATGCGACGTTGAGGCTTATGGCTCACCCGAATGAATGGATAATCCCACGACCTAATGCAGTGCCGTCTCAAGCATTTTTGAGGCTCTAGGTAGAGAAAAATATTTAGGATCTTAATACTTTAAAAAAAATTAAATATTAGTTTTTAAAAAATATATTTTATATAAGATTTAATTTTCTTGCTTTTTGAGATGCAAAGTTACTAATTAAATTTTTATATTCAAGCTTTGATAATAAATCCTTTTCAATTGATAAAATTATCAAATCATTTAGACACTGTTTGGCAACCAAAAAAAGTGTCTTATCTAAGAGCTTGTGTCTTATTGACTTGGTCAATAAGCTAGTAGAGCTGTTTGGTGACCAAAAATAGGAGGAGATTATTTTGGAGATTGTGTCTTTTGCAAGTAGCTTTTGGAAAGCTATCTCAAGTAGCGTTTGTTTTTGGGAAGGAGCTATCAATTTTTTTCTTCCGTTTTTGCCCCTAATAATTCTAATTTTATATCAATAATATTGCATAACTTTTTTAGTCATTTAACAAATTTAAGCTAGTTGTACAGCTTCTTTTGCCAAACAGCTCTAGTCAATCAGTTGTACAGCTTCTTTTGCCAAACAGCTCTAGTCAATCAGCTAGCTACACAGCTATCAGCTTTCAGCTACAATTTCACAGCTTTCAGCTAGCTTGACAGCTTTCAGCTATAATCTCGCAGCTTTCAGCTAGTTTTGCCAAACAGAGCCTTAATCTTTCTTGAGACATTGCTAAATTATATTAGTTTTTCTTTTTTTTACCGTTATAATCTAATTAATTATAGAAATAAAATATAAAAAGTTATAATTAAACTTTATTAGTGTTCTTTTCCAAATATTAAGATAATTATGGATAAGTATAGCAATAAATGATCAATTAAAGATAATTTAGAATCCTAACAATAATCAACTTCTTATATTTCCAAAATAAATTTATATATATATATATATATATATATATATATATATATATATATATATATATATATTATTATATAAACTTAAGGTATATAAGTGCTTTTTAGGAACAACAGGGTATTTAAGTGCGCAAGCTTAACCTAAAAATTAACTAATATAGGATTAGCTCATGACTTATGACCTAGTCTTCCTGGGAAGCGCTCGAGTGAGCAGCGAAAGAAAGCTAACTAAGACTTTGTTTGAGTAATAATTTATCATTCGCACGCCTGAAAGTTTGGTGCGTTATAAAAGCTAACTAATAAAATGCGACGTTGCAGGCTTATGGCCACGACGAATAATGGACATATCACCACGACGCTAATGCAAGTGCCGTCTCAAGCAATTTTTGAGGCTCTAGGCTAGAGAAAATATTTAGGATCTTAATACTTTAAAAAAAATTTAAATATTAGTTTTTATAAAAATTAGTATTTCTATATATAAGATTTATTTTTTGCTTTTTGAGATGCAAAGTTAGCTAATTAAATTTTTATATTCAAAGCTTTGATAATAAATGTTTTCAATTGATAAATTATCAAATCATTTAGACATCTGTTTGGCCAACAAAAAAAACGTGTTATCTAAGAAGCTTGTGTCTTTTGACTTTGGTCAATAAGCTAGTAACTAGAGCTGTTTGGTGACCAAAATAGGAGCGAGAATTATTTTGCGCAGATTGTGTCTTTTGCAAGTAGCTTTTGGAAAGGCTAATCTCAGCTAGCGTTTGTTTTTTGGGAAGCGAGCTATCAATTTTTTTTTCTTCGTTTTTTGCCCGTCTAATAATTCTAATTTTATATCAATGAATATTGCCATAACTTTTTTAGTCATTTAACAATTTAAGGCTAGTTGTACAGCTTTTTTGCAAACAGGCTCTAGTCAATCAGCTACGCTCACAGTCATCAGCTTTCAGCTTACAAATTTGCACACTTTCAGCTAGCTTGACAGGCTTCAGCTATAATCGCCGCAGCTTTCAGCTAGTTTTTGGCCAAACAGGAGCCTTAATCTTTCTGAGACATTGCTTAAATTATATTTAGTTTTTCTTTTTTTTACCGTTATACATCTAATTAATTATAGAAATAAAATATAAAAAGTTATGAATTAACTTTATTTAGTGCTTCTTATCCAAATTATTAAGATTAATTATGGCATAAGATAGCAATAAATGATCAATTTAAAGGATAATTTTAGAATCCTAACAATAATCAACTTCTTATAGTTTCCAAGAATAATTATATATATATATATATATATATTATATATATATAGGTATATTATATATATAATAGTTATATATATTATATATATATATATATATATATATACTTTCTCCTATATATATATATATATATAGTATATATATTATATATATATATATATAATATATATATAATATAATATATAGGTAAAAGTTATGTCAACTTTAAGTGGATAGAATAAGTCATCCACCAACTTTTTTAACCGTTGATATTGCGATTGTTGGGATCCGTGATAGATATGAAAAAATCTTTTAAGATTTGTGCATCTTGATGGCCACAAATCTTAAAACAAGATGAGTGGATAAAAAGTTTGGTGACAAGGCCTTCCTATCTACTTAAGTGGACAGGAGTTTTACTCTCTCTCTCTCTCTCTCTCTGCTATATATATATAT